CCCTTCTGTTACGCCCCGACCTAATTTCAGTTCATACGAATATAAAATGGTCATTTTTGGCCAAAAATTCTATTTTCGACTTCTTCTTCAAAACCTGATAGCCTGAATGCTTTGATACTTGGTGTGTTCCTTGTGTTGACATCTACTAGATTTGTTCTTCCCATGGCCATATCTTTAATTCTCTAATTTTGGCAAATATTTTTGTCATTTTTGGTTAAAAATGGAATTTCAACTAACCACTATTTCCAATGCTTTGGTGTTAGGCATACATGTGTTTATTATTCCATTGACAACTTTGTGTGGTTGTTTGGCGATATTTCATTTAAAAGTACAAACCTAAACGAAAAGTTGTGGCATATACAGCACTAATCTTTTGTACAATAGCCGTTTCGAAAGTATATTCTAAACGAAGTTTTAAATAAAAACAAACACAATTGCATTGCGTAGCAGTAAGTGATCACGGTTGCACAATAGGCCTTGCTGCATTTCACAATTGTTGATTATTACTCAGTTGTGATTATAATAACGTACAAAAAATAAATTCGTTGAATTGTTATGAAATGCAAATAAAATTCAACTCTCATATAAACGCTTGATGCTGTCGAGTATTCGTCATGTTCTTTTCTTGCATGAGTTGACCTAAGGTCAAATCGCTAATTAACTAATGCATGACGATGCCAACATGTTCAAATTACCATAGCTCATTTAAATATATTAATGTAATTGAATGCAACGCAGAAAATATTTGTCAATGTTGTAGTACGATCGTTTGGCTTGGATTTTGATGGGGAAAATGGCAGGATTTTTTTAAAATAAAAATATAGTTGTTTTCAAAAGATAAACTAAGCATCAAAAGAGTAATTTAACATTGTTTACAGTGATAACAGCTCATTGTTAAAATGAAACTTACCTATTCACGCTAGTCACAATAATCGTATGCTTGAAATACAATAGGTGTCAGGAACGATTGAAATGACGCCAAAATATTTAAAAAACAACTATAAAAACTGCTGTTTAACGGCTCAGGCCAAATTTACGGCAGAATCCGTTACTCACTATCAAGTATAACTTTGTACATGTAATTGCCTAGCAAGATCTCTTTGTTGGCACATCACTAACTTTTGCAAAAAATAAATTTAAAAACTCTTTTGAGCCATATTTGACATTACAAAACATTAATCACAGTAGGGCATTGCTAAAATTGAGAACAAGCTTAAAAGTGACAAGGGCAGGCACATTTACACATACCCTAAAACACCACTTAATAAGAAAGAAAGTACAAATAGTGCAACATGAACATGAATGTGAATGAGGATGAATTCCACTTTTCCAAAATATGGAAACTTGCGCCAGCAACTTTTGTCTGAATTAAATTTTCTACCACATGATTCACACAATACCAATCATTTATTCAATTATTAAGGTAGAAATGCAGGTTTGTGGGCACTTGGGAGTGAAATTTTTTTTTTTTTGCTTTTTATTGTCCAAACAGTCTTGGCTATAGACTGTTAAAATTTTGTAGAATTGTGAATAGTGGAACATACTCAAAAAGGATTTTAAAATATAGATAACAGGTGCAAACATTCTCTCTTTTGAATGCTTAGCAAGATTTAGCAAGGCTGTACATAAATAATAAAAGAGAAACATGGTAAAAAAAAAGAAATGACGGGCTCTCCATATTATGCACTATGTTTAACTTTTTACAAAACGATAATACACTTAAATTTGGAACTATTACAGCCATTTTAATTTTACTGAGTGAATTGTTATGCAAATTAGCAATCATCTCAGCTTCTTTTTAGTGCACATCCCAGAACTTTAAAAAAAAAATAGCTCCTAGACGTTACCGGAGCTTGGCTGGAGCTGTTTACTACAGCGTGACAAGCAAGGAAATAATCCCTATTGTTTAGGAGCGTATTTATAGTATACCTGGGCCTTTAAGGTTTCACAGTTTATTTACAAAGCCTTTCAAGAAAGAATACATGTAGATAGTTAATAGTTTTGAATTTTATTATTAGTCTTTAAAAAAATATTTTTAACA